GCTGTCCTATAAATACGGACACAAAACATCCTGTTGTCCTCGCAGGGCCGGACAGAGGTGATCCTGCTGAGCGAGGAGAGGACAGAAGGAGACAACACGCAAGACTTTTTGGGGGGGAGAGAGAGAGCAAAGTCGTATGATGTCCGTCGTTGGCGCGCAGCCTTTCATCAAACCAATGCAGCCATCACCTTCTGTTTCGCCTGGCATACAAAGGAGACACACACTGCCTGCGAGCGAATTCCGACCGCTCAACACGCAAGATGCCATAAGCGTCTTTGAAATCGAGCGAGAAGGTAAGAGACTCATATGATCATGTATCTGTTTGTTGGAGCAGAAACCCGCTCTGCCGAAGTTTTGCTGAGTGAAAAGAGGCATTATGTCGATGGAGGGATTTGCGTAAAAGCATTGATGGCATCGACAGACATAATTCTCTTTTTGCTTTGAATGTAGTCACTGCTCAGATATTCTTTTAATGACCTTTTAAACACTGTGGGATAAATCTGTATTAGACACTCAGTTTATTGGGCACTTGGGCGCCGCCTTTAGTGCGCGTAAAAGTAGTGCCAAAATGTTTGTGCATGGCCATATTCATTCTCTCTCTCTCTCTCTCTCTCTCTCTCTCTCTCTCTCTCTCTCAGCTTTTATTTCAGTGTCAGGTGAGTGTCCCCTCCACCTGGATGAGGTGCGTCATTTCCTCACACTGTGTCCAGAGCTGTCCATGGGCTGGTTTGAGGAGGGCCGGCTGGTGGCTTTTATCATCGGCTCTCTCTGGGACCAGGACAGACTCACTACAGTAAGACACCCTGCACCTTTTCAATTAATCATGTAACTCTTTAAAACAAATGCGTGTTCTGTAAGGATCAGTAATTATGATCTCTAACCACCACAGGACGCACTGACTCTGCACAAGCCCTGCGGCTCAACCGTCCACATCCACGTCCTCGCTGTCCATCGCACCTTCAGGCAGCAGGGCAAAGGTCCCATCCTGATGTGGCGTTACCTGCAGTATCTCCGCTGCCTTCCCAACGTGCGCCGAGCAGTGCTGATGTGCGAAGACTTCCTCATTCCTTTTTACCGCAAGTCAGGCTTCAAGGTACTAGGGCGCTGTGCCATCACCGTGGCCAACCTCACCTTCACAGAGATGTGGTACCCCATCAGCGGCCACGCGTACATGCGGCGCAACAGTGAAGCAATCCGTTTCCCTCAGCATCCCTTGACTCTGCCACTGACAAAGACTGGTGAACACCTTGATGTATGACATGTCAGTGAGATGAGATGTCTGCACAGGTTGTCTTTCAGTTAAAATCAGTGTTGTACTCTTTGTAGGACATGTCAGAGGTTGGTTTTTTTCAGTTTTCAGTGGCTGCTTACTCTGTTCTGTTGGACTTTTTCCCTCTAATCTCATACTGAAGCTCGTCAATCAATCTTGTGTGAAATTCTCTTATTATGTACAATAAAAACAAGAATGTACTATACTGTAATGTGAATTATTATATATACTCAAGTTTACTTTGTTAGACTCTGTCCAGTGAAAGGACTAGAGTAGTGTGCTGAACTATTATAACTCTAACTGGAGTTACTTTGATGGTGTGTTGCATACGTGGTAGATCTTTGGATTTGTTGCTATACCTCCTGCTTAGCACCTTTCTGGGCTTCCCACAACTAAAGACTGACGTCAGCGACCAGGCTTTAGCTGCTCAACCACAGCTTCTCCAGCTCTATTAGGGGGCTTTAGCTGTTGGAAACGCTGGAGGATTTAGAAGGGGATCCACTCATCAGTTAGTCTGCAGATCCAATGACCTAACTTAAACCAACATGTAGATTTTGGTGATGAGATGTTTGAGTTTGTGAATCCAGACTTTGTCTTGTGATGTTTCATATTTGTGTCCATTTCAGTATCACACTTTCAATAAAATGTTTTATACTATTTTTTTATAATTCATGTTTTTGATTTGGTTTGTCCTCTCAGAGACATTTTAAACGTTTTTCCACAAGTTAAAACAAAATAAAAGTCTTGTACCCACACTGGTTGACAAGTTTATTCAATGAAACATTCCCTTAAACTCTTTATTATCACTGTTATTTAGAATAAGAGGCTCCTAGCCTTTCTGTGGTATAATGTCACTACACTGTCTTTATGCCAATATCTTCAGCTCTCTCTGAACTGTGCCTCTGGAGCCTCGGGCCAGTCAGTGGGAAGCCTTATGCTCTTGAATGGAGCTTTAATCCATGACACAGTCACCGACTCACATCTAATCCACTAACGTGCCAGGGTGAGCAGCTCCTGCTGCTCTGAAGGACAAACTCTGTACTTAGGGGTCACCTGGACCATGACCCAGGACTCCAATTAGCACCAGCACACAGTGAGGAGGGTAAAGATGTTTGGAGTGTGATGCAAATACTTTCATATTAGCAGCAGCTTATATATGGGGGCAAAGCCAAAAATATGTATTGTTCCCCCTTCCCCTGAGGAAGAAGCCTCTGACACAAGAAAGTATGTAGCCCGCCAAGTGAAAAATCAACTGAGAAGATATTGTATATTTTATGTGTTGTTTCTAATGTAGCTAAAGTAAGAGACTAACAAATGTAAAATCTGTCAAACAGTAGCTTACATTTACATTAGGATACACTAGTAGCACCAGATCAGTACTACTTTCTCTGATTCATTCATTTTACACATTAACATCCACCGTCAGACGAGGGTCAGCAGAAAAAAAGCACACATGAACTATGTTTTCTCTCAGGAATCTAAACTTTTTCGGGTTAAAACTGGCTTTGTAAATGTCACTGGTCATGTGGACTTTGTGGAGGTTAACTTTGATGATAAAGAAATAAATTACAATTTCTCCTACAAACAGGAATCTGCAGAGTGAAGATGGCTTGCGGCTGATTGGTTTCAAGCTGATGCAGCCAGCTGGCATCTTTGCTTGGTTTTGATTCTTAGTTGGCTGTCAGAGAAGTCTGAGCTTTACTGGAGTTTATTTTTAAACCAATGAAGAGCAATGAGGAAGTTTTTTAGTGTGTGCAATGAAGTTGCTTCACATTGGTAAATTTAACTGCAGAATTGTCAGGAGTTGATCAGTGCATGTATCAAGATGCAGACTTATGTGGGCTATCACGGTTATCATACTTTTTGTTCTTATGTGCCTTTATGTATGTTTCTATTGATACCATTAATTTCCAGTGGCAATAATAAAGTGCTTGCCTGACTCGTTTCGTCAATGAAAATTGTCACTGCTCCTGATATTGTTGTATGAAGAGGGAAAATACAGCACAGTGCTCACTGAATAAGAGTGCTTTAAATACTAGTTGATGTGGCATTGGCATGATTGCAGGGCAGGCGTACAGGAGGCTTCGCTATCATCGTTTATAGAGAGGGTGAATGAGAGACAAATGTGTGAATGCTCATTGTCAAAGCTTAAACCATCAGCTGCAGTCTAGTATTATGACAATAATAATCCAGCAAAACAGAAAGGAGCTGCCAATTACCATGTACATCACACAGGCAATGGTCCAGTCAGTGCTAATGTGCTATTTGTGTTTCCATGTACTGTATGTGATGCTGTCATATTCTGGGTTATTTAGCAGGCTTTTTATTAGAGAGGTAGTTATCACGCATGCACTCACTGTGGGTCACTACCCCAATGATAGAAACTGAAGACACATCCCAGAAACCAGAATTTGATTTCCGCCAGTACACTTTGCTGTCAAAACATATATATATATATATATATATAATATGAGGCACAAAGTACACAATGCAAGCTGGTTTTGTCATTACAGCATCATGTTTTCAAACTTCTTTAAGTGAGATAATCATCAGGGAACATCCTTCACCCCCAGAGTGGGGCCACTTCAGCCTCCAGACAGGCTCATGTGCAGTAATCCTGCAAAGTCCTTTCAGTCATCGGGTAATCTGGCAGGCAGACATGCTAGCACAGGCCACATATTCCTACATCAACGCCATTTACTGTTAACCTCCACTGTGTGGCATGTTAATGCAACAATGTTGACATGTTAATATTTGTAGTCTGCAGTCTTTTATTAGACACATGCCTCATCCATGTAGACCCTGAGTGTGACCTCACCAACCTTAACACACTGCATGCTCGTACGTGAGTCATGTTTAATCTGTATCCTTAATCCATGATTTCCAAGCATATGACTCGCAAGGGCTTACGAGCATTGCATACTAAGTACAGCTGTGTTGCCATTAGATAAAGTATTAGATACAACAGATGATTCACTGTCTTGTCGAGCAAGCTATTTCTGGAAATGGGAAGAGATGTGTCATAAATTGTATATCCCCCATATTAATATTAATAGTAAGAGCCAAGCTCTGTGATTCTGTACTTATAGGAACAGCAGTGCTTTGAGCTAAATGTTAAACATGCTAAACATCAGTATGCTAACATGCTGAATCTTAGCAGGTTTATTGTTTACCATGTTCAACATTATAGTTTAGTGTGTTTAAATGGTAACATTTGTAAGTTATGACTAAACCACAGACTAAACAGAAGTACAGTGGAGGATAATTTTGCAGATAATAAGTTAAGGTATTGGATGAATATGTGTACTAAATTTCTCAACAATCAAGGAAATACTATTTCCCTCAAAACCATACATGTCAACCTCATAGTGCCACCATGAGGAAAAGTCAGGAGATTACCAAAGTCATTATGATTCTTTCTCTGGGAACCATAAAGATCTGTACAACATTAAATGGAAATCTATCCATCAGTTGTTAAGATATTTCAGTTTGGACCAAAGCAGTGGACTGACCAACTGACTGACAGACCAACATTGCCATCTCTTAAACTATGATGTTAGCGTGGCTAAAAAGCAGACGTCAGAATGAAAATCGTCATATGATCATCAACATTGTTACAAGTATTGTGAATACCCCAAACCGTGTGTAGTCTATGAAATAAATGTTCTCTATTTATATACATATGTTCTTATAATTCAGCTCTCAGTATTTTAAATAACAAGACAGAAAGTGAGGTTTGCAGAGTTTAATAAACACTTGAAACACGCTGAAAAAACAATTTACCATATAAAACAAACATTACCCTCATTTTTACAGCAGACCCAAAATTAGCACTGAAGAAACAGATCCACATGTAGCCTACAGTTTCACCAAAAGTGTAGTTTTTTGACTGAATGTATGAACATGTACATTGTCGATTTTATCAGTTTTATCAGTTAGCATTACTCTTAATTATCATACACCCTTTACCACCAAGTGGCTCAAGCAGATAAAACATGGTACATCTTCACATATAAACATTGTTGTAGGGGGAATTAAACCGATAGTTTGAGTATGATGGGGCATTTGAGGCATCAGTGGAGGCTGCAGGAAGCAGCAGGAGCCCCGTGCTGATGTCTTTCTGACAGCGATCCATTGCCTGCTTGTATGTGATCTTTTCTTTAGTGACGGGGTCTACCAACTCTTTTGTGAGGGAAGCCTCATTTTGCAGATGATCAGCAGTTGTGCTGTCAATCAGATTGGCAGCGAGAGCTTCTTGGACAGTGAGGCGGCCGGCTTTAGAGGGATCCACCAACCCACCAGTCAGGTACTGCGCCTCCATGTACCTCCTGGCATTTTCTTTGGGAATATACCCTTTCTGTGCGGCTTGTCCCACTGCGAGCCGCTCTTTGGTCACTGGATCCTCGACTCCAGTGAAGGCCTTCTGGGCATTCAGAAGCTTGTACATGTGACCCGTGTCAATTAAACCATGTTCAGCTGCCTTGTGGACAGACACTTTGTCCTTCTTGGCAAGATCAACAATTCCACCAGAGGCTGCTTGTGCCTCCAGCAGCTTCAGAGCTGTGTCAGTATCAATGAGTTTGCGGGTCAGGGCGCTTCTCACAGACATGCGGCTTTGAGTGGTGGTGTCAAAAATACCGGAGATGGGGAAATGCTCATCACCCGCTGAGGCACTGAGGTTGTTCAAACTGCCCGCTGAGGCACTGAGGTTGTTCAAACTGTCCGCTGAGGCACTGAGGTTGTTCAAACTGCCACTATGGCGAGTGTTGAGGCTGGGGTAGGAGGACCTTAGGGAGGATGGCATGGTTTTCAAAGGAGAGGCTGGCATGGGTTTGGTGGGTGATCTTGGGGCTGTTATTTGAGGTATGTCAGGCATTTGTCTTTCCCCTACAACAAGGAGGGCAAACTCCGTGATGTTCATTTTCCCTTCCTTGTAACGCATCACGTCATACTGGGTCAAGCGCCCCTCCCTCAGAGCATCCTTGACTGAGTACTGCTTCCCACTTTTGCGATCCTGCAGAATTGTTGTATCTCCATCTGGACCTGTTGATGTGATTTCCTCCCAGTCACACTCCAACTGTGACAGGTGAATGTAATGGTTGCGATCAATTAGCCCCTGCACGTAGGCATCATAGGGAGACATGTCTTTACCGGTTTCTGGATCCATGATGGTGATCTTCGTAGAAAGATTTGTCTCTCTGGTGTGAGTTTCAGACTGGTCATCTTTCTTAATGGTGTTCAGCAACTCAGTGATCAATGTTTCTCTCTGGTGTATTTTGTCTTTTTCACTCAGGATTTCTTTCTCCAGCCGTTGCACTTCAGAGGATGTTTTAAGACTCCTCTGCCGTGCAATCAGGTTTCTCTCACTCACCAGCTTGGACTGCTGCTGGAAGGTTATACTGATGTTCTGTCTTTCAGACTCGAGCATTTTGAGCTGTCTGAGGAGATCCTCCTTCTCTCTGTGCAGAGAATCCCTGTTGGTGATGAGAGCAGTCTCCTCCTGAGAAGTCACAGACTTCGATGTCTGCAGATGGGTCATTTTGATGTTGATGTTCTGAATGTTATCCTCCTGATCACGCCTGAGATTTCTCTCCTGCGTTACTAGCTCTCTTAGATGTTCCCTTTCAGCCTCATCAGCTGGGTCTTTCTCTACGCGAACAACTTCTCTGTAAACAACCTTCTCAACTGACTTCTCCTTTTGCAGAATTTCCAACTTGAGCTTCAGGTTGCGGATTTCTCTCTCTAGACGACTGATATTGGTGCCCTCAGTCTCCAAGTTGTCACGTATACCATCAGTTAGTTTTTCCAGCTTAGGGTCTCTCTCCACTTTCAGGACCTCCTCAATGACAATCTTTTCCTCAACGGGCGGATGAGAATTTTCAAGTTCATGAATGCGAGATTTGATCTGCCTGAGCTCTGACTCTACTTGAATCTTCTTCTGACGATCATCCATCTGAGCCAGGGTACTCTCTTTATCTTGAACATGGGCTCTAAGCTGTCGGACCTCTAATTCAAGCTTTCTACGGGCTTTCAATTCCTCATCCAGATTCTTGTTCAACTTTTCATGCTCCAGCATCTGCTTGGGGTCCTTCTGAAGACGCACCACTTCCTGCATTACAATCTTCTCCTCTGGTTTCTGCCTTTCGAGGACAATGTATTGGTTTTGGAGGTCAAAGAGACACTCCTCCACACTGCGGCGTTGTTGAATCTCTTCTCTTACATTCCTTCGAAGTCTGTCAGCCTCTTTCTCAAGAAGAGGATCATTCTCATATTTGATGAGCTCTTTATTGACTAGCTTGGTCTCCACTTTGGATTTTTCAGCTTTCAACTCATCTCTTTCTTTACGTAGGCGGGTCAGCAGCTCGAGGGTGGTGTCATAGTTGACTTGCAGACGGGAAACTTGGTTGCTTAGCCTTTGTAATTCCCTAATGACCTCTGGGCTTTTCTCTTCTTTGATCACCTCCTGAGTCACCTCCTTGTACTCCACTTTGGGTTTCTGAGCACGCAGGGTAGTCAGAGTCGTTATCACTGTGTTGATTTCTCTCTCCAGGTCTGTGCGGTTGCGGCTCGATTCCTGCAGCTCTTTTCTCAGACGCACCAGTTCGAGTTCTGTCTCAGGATCAACTCGGTAGATCTCATTGATGACCTCCTTGACCTCGACTTTAGGCCTGAGCTTCTCCAATTCACCGTAACGTAGCTGAAAGGTGGTCAGGTCTTTCATCAAGATAACATTCTCATCTTTCTCCTCTTCCAAGGCAATTCGTAGTTTCTTCGACTCTTCAAGCGTTTCTGGATCTTGCTGTACTTGCTTCACCACCTTGGAGACTATCTTGGGTTGGATTGTCGGAATGACCCTCTCCAGTGTGTTTATCTGGCTCCTTAAGCTAAAAATGCTATCGTTGAGCGACTTGCAATGAGATTCCTCTGCTGCAATATCATTCTGGAACATGAGAACAGCTTTCAGCATTTCTGGATCCTTTTCCAGCCTCACCACTTCCTTCTTGACAACCTTCTCCCTTATTTTGGGTTTTTGCTGAGCTAGAACCGTGAGTTCAGTTTTCACATGAACTGCCTCAGAATCTCTCGTTTGGAGCTCCAGTCGTATCCGATGCATCTCATCTCTAATCTTGGTGGCTTCTTTGTCAAGTTGCGGGTCTCTCTCATATTCAGTCAGTACCTTGGTAACCAGTTTAGGTTCGACTTTGGTCAGCTGTGTCTCCAGTTTGATAATCTTCTCATTTAAGATTTCTATCTCTGAATGGGTTCTTGACCTGTTATATGTTTCATCCTGGATCCGACTTTTCAGGGACTGTAGTTCCACCTCCAGCTTGGGGTCACGGTAGTATTGCACAACCTCCTTCTCTTCCAACCTCTCCACTCCTCTCCTATTCTTCAATGACACAAACCTCTTACGGTATGTTTCCAGGTCTTTTTCAGCATGTAAGCGCCTGGCAACCTCCTCAGTTAATTCATTTTTCAGGCTACCACTCTCCTCCAGGTCCTTCTTCTGGCTCTGTAGCTGCAGCTGCTGACTGACGACTACCTGACTAACTTTCTCTTCATTCTGGGCATGGATAAAAGGAAATATGAGAGTCACTTCAGAACAACTGACAACAATAATTTGGGTCAGGAATGATTCTACTATTTCTATTAATTATTATTGTTGTTGATGTTACTTTAATTCCATAATATCATACCCTGGCCATTATGTTCTTAGCTGTCCCCAACTGGCTGATCAGCTGGTTGTTTTCTGCAGACACCTCAGAGAAAAGGTTCAGTAGATTTTTCTCCTGTGGTAAAAGCAGAAGGCAAAATGAGTTTGGAATTCAAAGACGAAGTGTCATGAGTTCTTAGCTGTCTTCAGGCAGTTGTGTATAACTGCACCTTTCTCTGTACAGCCTGAGCCATCGTAGAAGTTTGTTTCGTTGGGATCGGTTCATCAACATCAACATCATCATCGCCATCATCGTCATCATTTAGAGTGCCACGGTAAGTGTATGACTTAATCTCGTACTCCTGAAAGTAAATATATTTAAACATTGAAGAATTAAGTACTTGGAAGTACATAGGTAATTAATTGAATTGAAGTTGCAAATGGTATGTAGGAGTGATCATATTCTCTGAACTCACATTTAAGACACTATGCAGATCACGGGACAGAAACTTGACACGGTCTAAATCACCTGATTTCTTCTTGATATCCTCCATTACTCTCTAAAGAAGACATGTAAAAACCACAGCTGATAAGACGAAGCAGTTTTATGTCATTGTTGAAACAGATATGAGTTAGTTTGTATATAAAAGTTGGAGACAGGTTGATGTATGTAAAGAAACACTTCCACTCACCTTTTGAGAGTTCTCCTTGGCTGTTATCTGTGCAACATTGTCAGTAGGTTTGATCGAATTATTGGGCAAATTGACCAAGAAGAAATCCAGTGACTGAACAGAATTCTGGAAATCTTGATTTCTACTGGTTGCATCTTGTACGAGAGCCGACCTAAAGCAAAATATAAAAAACTCTCTTCATCACCAATGAAGTGTTGACATTTTTAAATAAAGATATATTTCTTAGGACGTAAGCGGAGTCAGAAGTCAGCCACATGCAGTTTCAACAATCTTTTTTTGCTTACCGTTCCTGGATCTGATTTTTCACAGTCGTGTAACGATTCTGCAGCTTTTTCACCTCATTCTCCTGTCGGCGGATGTCAGGACAGTATTCACTGTAACTCTGCTGCAGGGGGCTGCATGCTTGCTCTGTGAAGTCCAAGTCTCTGCCTAATTGCTCCAACTCACCCTTTTTTGAGGCGACATCCTTACGCATAGCCTGTTTGACATCAGGAGAAAGAACAGAGATAAAGAAAAAAAACACTCTAGGTTTGGATCTCTTTGGAGTATCCCATGCTGTATCCCCTCACACTTGTATGAAATTGTTAAATATTAGGGATATAATGATTTGTCGCATCAATTTTGCGCTGGCCAAATGTTGTGTTGATTATTTCCAACTTGGATTTTAGAGTAATAAACACCTCAATTTCCAGCACTGGCAAATGTGCCCCATGCACCAGCACGAACAGTGAGCGGCTGTTCAGCTCTGTGTCATTTTAGGATTAGAAGAAAAATAGACTGAGACTAGAATCTTATCTTTGTAGATTTCTTTGTTTCTTTGACTCAAAAGGGCAAATAAATAACAAATCATTATTATTATTATTATTATCGTTATCAACATCAGCTATCGGCCAATTTATTATTTTTAACGTTTTTATTGGTGTTGGACCAGATTTCACAATAAGTGCATCCCTATTAAATATTTTAAAATATGGACTTTTTTGGTTGCATCATAAAGTACAACACCTGCAGCTGCTGGTTCCGACTCTGGAGGGCACTTGGTTTATCAAGAATGACGCCATCTTTAGCTAGCTGCTCCTCAAACCCAGAGACAATGCCGTCCACCTTCTGCAGCTGCTTCTCCAGGAACATGGAGGCTGTAGCTCTGGTTGAGAGGAGAGAAACACAGAAGGTAAAAACAAAATGAGATATCTGGATATATTTTTTCAAACTAAAAATGTGTATTCATACATGTGCTTCTATATTATAAAAAGTATTTAAAAAAGTAGATTAAAGAGAAACAATGTAACTTTTCCTGAAAAACGGCATTGTGGCTACTAATGACAATAATGGGACAATGCTAAATGCTAAACTACAGTTATGCTAAACAGGATGCTAAGCTATTGTCACAGTAGTTGAGAAGAGTTAAGGCAAAAATCCTCAGTATGTTGAATTGAGCTCATGTGTTTTATTGTTTATATGACAACTATATAGACAACTTTTAATATGTAAGAGGAGGAATGCATTATTTATTCACTTTAAATGCTTTTATGCTTTAAGAATGGTCTTGAAAAAAAAACTGCACTGTGCTATAATGTCATTCTGATCTTCTTACTTTTTATTATAAAGATCGATAAGGCCATTGATGTCATCAATCTTGTTGGTGGCAGCAGTGAGTTTGGGGGGCAGGGTGGAGGCAGTGGGTCCCAGGGGTTTCTTGGCCAGAACAGGCTCCATCTCCCTCTGGACCGCAGACTTCTCAGACTCCAGTTTTCTTACAGTCAGGGCAGATTTCTGGAGGGCAAGTCATATGATGTTACTGATCACAACTAGACGAGACAGACGTGTGAACATGCTGAGGACAACTTTTAGAAAATAAATAAATAAGTAACGTAGGTTATATTTTAAAGCATGATGTTGTTCATGTTCACCTCGTGCTCTTGCAGCCTTTTCGCCAGGTCTTCTGTGGGGTTGCGATTGTCTAGCGGGGCTCTAAGTCGACTCAGGATTTGTTTTTCGCTCTGATCCAGGGCTCTGTTGATCCTGTCGATCTCACTGGCTAGCTCTGCAGCTTTAGGATCCTCAGGAGCACTTTGTACAGCGACTGAGGAGGAGCAAAGACAGTCATTCTACAATTAGAAGTTAGACAAGACTACATTTTCTAAAAAATTTCAAAGACATCTTTTAAAGGGAAAACTAAATGTTTTTCTTCTCACCTGCCTTCTGAGGGCGAACCACCTCCACTGTGGGGTTCTTCAAAGAGGACATGAGTGCAGATCTACGGCTCTTCAAGCCGCTCAGCGCTCTGTCCAGACTGATCACACACACACAATGTTTCATTAACATCTATCACAAGCTCTGTTGTACCATAAAAAATAATGTAAATAAAACAAACTTTTTACTCTGTACCTGTTTACTTTCTCGAGGGCCTCAGCGTCAGGTGGTGGGATTATGAAACAGGCCCCCGGCAGGGTTCTGGTCTTCCCACTGCTGCTTTCAAACTCCCAGTTCTTATTATCAGAGTTGGACTTGAGGTTCAGCGTCTCACCCCGTCTCACTGCATCCTGAAATGGACAGAGAAGATGATCAAATAATGATGATGACAAGAAGAATATTTTGCCTTTTATATTAAATCCTGTAAATGATCACATCCTACCCCTTCATCTGCCCAGTCACACAGGGACATTGCAGTGGTGGGTTTGGTGGGCCGGGTTCGGCGTAACTCGAGAGGCACAATGCTGCTGCTGAGCTCCCTGAGGGCAGCCAGGCGCTGCTCATTCCTCTTTACTGCTGGTTCATCTCCCTAAAGGTATTATTGAGTTATAACAGGAGCAACGCAAGCAAACAAGGATATTATCATCTGAATACATCTTCAACTACCAGAGGCATGTCCCAAGAGGCAGGTTCACTCGGTTATCAGGATGACTAAGTAAAACCTGATTGTGTAAAAGGATCAGGGCATTGTATGTAGAAAGCAGCTCAGAGAGATCCCCTCTAGACATGTATTAAGACATATAAGCAACACGGATATCATGCGTCTTTTCCCCAATTTTTTTCCCCAGGAACTATGAATTGGCAAATTTTGTTCACTTTTCCTGCTGGACACAAGATGTCTCCTACTTCACTGTAAAGTCCATTCTCAGTGGATGTGCACTGGTGGATTCTGGATTCTGGAAGTTTCTACATCACACTGTACAAGTTGATACTGGACCAGGAATGACTTCCAAACTATTTGTGATGTAACAAATCATACTGGTAGGCCCCGTCCCTTAAAATCAGATGTTCAGTTAGCTCAGAGAAACTTTCCACTTTCAGCAGATGAATGTGAAAACATCCTTCTAGTGTCAAACTCTGCACATACATCATTCAAACAGCACACTGTAGGAACAAGAAGAACAACATATTTTTGACTGGAGGGAGACTTAAAGATGATTTCCTAGTTTCTGAGTTTTATACATACCAGATAACTCAGTAAATCTGCTTCTAGAAATAGACCGCTGCAAATGATGCAAAGGACTAAACAAATGAGTGAATCAATGAACTCAGGAGGTGAAGCACCTGACACTTGTAGAACTGAACAGGGCACTTATTACACACTTACAGCACAGACATCTTCATCATATATTAAACTGACAAAAGTGACATTTTGAACTTAAGATAAATGTATAAATCAAAGGATTATACATCTACTTCAACTTGCAGACGTATGACCTAAAGATACTCCTCCAGAGGTCACCTAACCTTTTGAGTCATGTTCTGAAAAGGATTTTAAAAATATGATTGATCATAATAAGAAATATGTAATATCTATAATGTGTAAGGGGTAGTTTTATCCTACTATTAGCGTTTGATTAGTTACACCATCAGGGCTGCACACAACACAGATAAGGTGCCATAAAGCAGCTATGTTGTTCTTATGTATTAATCGTTCAAATATAACATAACATAATAATTATTTATGGTGTGCAGACTAACTGATTAAAATGTAAAGATGAATGTAAGAGAATGATAATAATTTTGGCCTTGCCTAATACTTATGGGACTCCAGTTTCTATATTTTTCAAGACTGCACAGAAACCATGACATCAGAAAACACAGTTGTACCTCCAGTGCCAGCAGGACCTCATGGTTGCTCTTGTTGGCCAGAGACTTTGGGTCCAGAGTGGAATTGAGTCTCTCCAGGGACTCGGACAACGTCTCTGCATCCAGCTGGAACTGCATTCGACAAATATTTGCTTATTAACAATAAGCTGTAGTGAACTGGTGGATTGGATAGAAGAAATATGACCACAGTCAGTCACTGTGTTTGTGGTCAGAGGCTCTCTACCTTTTTGTAGTCTTCAATGTTGTCCAGGTGTATTTCCTGTGCTAGACACAAGTTGAGGAAGGCCTGCCACTCGGCCTGCACGGCATCTCTGTGCGCCTGATGAAGACAATTCAATTCAACTTGATTATAATCTGTTCATTTCAATGTATTTGACCACAAGAAATCCCAAGTTATGACACTATCCGGGGCACTATGACGATTTATCAGTTTTCATACAGTTTCTGAGGTCCACATAGCTGACAGACGGCATACCTTTATTGTTGGGCTGCCAGGGTGTTTCTTTTCAACAAGACGATCTCCTTCCTCCTGCAGCTTGTTGATCTCAGTCTCGTGTGCTAGCAGTCCATTATTTTTGAATTTCTGTAAATACACAGAAACAACATAAAGTGGCATGTAGAAATGAAAATGTGAAAATGTTTCAGATATTCAGATCAGATTCTCCCAGCAGCTAAGCAGTTACTGTGCACCATACCGGTTACACCGGTTGGGTCCAAAGCTGGTGCAACCGGCCCCTAGAGGATTAATCTTGAAGCAGACAAACAAAGTTTTAATATTTGAATTTCCAAAAACCTCTCCACCCAGCACCTCCCTCTGACCACAAGATGACACAGTGAAAGTCAGTAGCCACGTCTGTCTTTAACAACAACACCATCAGGACCACATCATGCTGTGGACATCCCCTCACCTCATACTCCATGCGGACGCCTCGGGGGTCGGCCATGCGATCACTCCAGTCTCTCTGCAGGACCCTCTCCTGCTGGCCGGAAAGGTAGACCAGCTCCTTACTGCAGCTCTGCATGTACTCGTACAGAGAGGCCAGGTGGCTGCGTCTCCTCTGGGAGCTGTCCTGCAGAACGAACAGCATGCGTTCAAGACATACTCATCACTTCTACACATCCCCCTGAACTTAACTGAACTCCTGACAACACACATTGAGTTAACAGTCAACAAGGGCAAAAAAACAACAACTCACAAGCAGATGAGCATATTTCTCTTTGAGGGCGGCGTACTGCTCCTGTGAACAAAGAAGAAGAAGGTAAATGATTCATCCGTTATATAGTCCTGCAGAGTGCCTACATTTGTTGTTCTGTGCTGTTACCTGTGACGTGGTGGAACCCGGGCTGTAGCTGGGTGCTGTAGGACTCGATCGCCTGGTGCAGAATGTTATGTGCTGCAATCTGCTTCTCTACGTCGGCCAGGTTGGGGCCGTATGCCTCTGTATTTAACTGTTTCTGTAAATCACAGCATTACAAACCTGTGACGCTTAAAGATTATGGGGATGTTTAGCAAATAAACATTGACTCAAAGCTCGAACTGACCAGTTTTTCATCCAGCAGGGGACCCCAGTCGATCTTTTGTGTCGGCCCCAACCCTTGCACCTGGTTGTACAGTTCCCTGTAGACGGCACAGTCCTTTGCCCAGCGATCGTGCAGATTGCTCACACTGATAAAAGGAGACACAGTTATTTGGGTCATTGGCAAGCAGACAGGTGGAAAAGACACTTTGTGACAAGCTTATTTTGATGGCATGTAAAGTATCGAGTTTTAGGCGTGTCTGTTAGCATGCATGCCTGCATTTGTTTGTTGTCTGTGACACTCCAAAGTAAACTCACTCTTTCTCTATCTCAGGAGCCTGTGGGTGCTGCAACTTCTTGGACTTGTCCACGTCCATGAATAGTTTTTTCAGCAGCACCTCAGCCTCTGCCAGGTTGTCTGAGTTCTCCTTCTGGTGGAGCAGAGGCTGATTCTTCCCATAACGCTCTGTGTCCTGCAAAAGAAGCCAAAATAGCGTAAGATTGGAACTTATTTGATTTTGAAAAAGGCTTGATGTTAATATATATAATATTTAGACATTGTCTACAATACAAAAGAAAGAATCCAGTGTTAATGTTAATTTTGTGCTTAATGTTGTGATCTGCGTCTGGTTCAAATCTCAAGTCTCCAGTTCTGGTGCATGTGGACTTCTTACCACAGCCAGCAGCTCCTCTGCCTGCAGAATATTCTTCTCTACTTGGTCTGCATTATTCTGCATGCGAGAAATCAGCACCGCCAGGTCATTGGCCTGACTCCTGGGTGAAAACACAGAAAGATGGTGGTCAAAACTGTGCAGAATCTCCAGATGTTTCAGGGCATGACATGAATATATTAAGAAACTAGTACAAGTAGAAAGTAAGTAAGATATACTCCTCATACTGTGATGTTTGTTTTCATGCTTGAACCCCTATTTGCATTCTAAACATTTTATTGGATTGTAGCCTACAGTTATGTTGTTATGGTCCAATCAGGACCTGGTTAGTAAAGTGGTGAGGGAAGTGTTGAGATCTTTTTCTTCAGTGAAGCAGCAGTACCACACTGTAGAAGTACTTAATTACAGGTTAAAGTCATAATTCAATTTAAGTAGAAGTAGAAATGTATTAGCAGCTACATTTATATAAAAGTTCAAAAGTAGGAGTACTCACTAGGTTAAGAGTGTTATATTATTGGATTATTATTAATAATAATACTGGCTGAGGTGGAGATGATTATAACTGGTAGTTCAGTCTATAAATGCATCATATTTTAGAGGCTGATCAGATGTTTTGTGTGTGTGTGTGTGTGATAGCTGTCAGATAAATGTACCACATAATTGTATTAAATGTAGTTAGTTACTTCGCACCACAGGGTTTAAAATGTATATCGATTTTGTACTTTATATTGACAATGTTACTTCTGCTCTTCGTGTAATGACACGACTCAGATGCAAACATAAAAGCCTCTAAAAGCACGAACAAAGAAAATTCCGTCACTGGCATGTCACACATGAACACTTTCTGCAGACCTGTTTGTGCTCTCTGGGTGTTTGTTCTGTCATTCCTCCTCCACTGTGATCTGAAAGCCAACTATTTATTGTGACACACCCAGATCAGTACTCAGGGGACACACTGCAGAGTGGTGTGGGGGCGGAAGGGGGAGTCAGGAATGTCGTCAGCGTGTGATACCACTGAGACTAACGCGTTATACCACACCCTTCAGCTCTTATCAAATGAATGGAGTCATTACTCTGCAGTGGGGCTGTGGCAGTTGTAGTCAGACATTATGGCTCGTAGTAGGCGGAGTGCTGGAGGATAATAACTTACTGAAGTGAATTATTTTTATTGCTCCCAGTGGTGGAATGTAGATTTACTCAAGTACTGTACTTAAGTACAAATTAGAGTGTAACTGAGTACTTTCTTTTCATGCCACTTTCTACTTCTACTCCACTACACTGATTTACAGGTTTAATGACTAGTTATAGACTTAATCATGATCAATAAGTCAAATGAAAATGTATTATCCTGATTATGGTTTAAGTCAGAAGTGTCAAACATTTATTGGCTCTAGCTTCTTCTTCTAGGATTTACTGATTTTTCATTTAATTATTTTGTAGTTTGGACAAAACCAGCATTGTGAGGTGTTTCTTACCTTTTTTAAAATGTTTACAAACCAAACAATCAATCGGTCAATCGAGAATATATAATCAGGACATGAATCCCTAATGAAAATAATCATAAATAATAATAATCCTATATAAAATAGATACGAATTTGCTCCACTTCAATCAACTGCAACATTGAAATTATGCTTTTACATTAATGAATGAGTAATAATAATATTCCTGCTTAATTTTGATACTTTAAATACATTTCCTGATTATATTTACATACTTTTATTCAAGTAACATTTTCATTGCAGGACTATTACTTGTAACAGTATTTTTATGGTATCGCTCTTATCTCGGATGTAAAGGTCCCACATGAGGGTGACTCCATTCATCACCGACAGCTTCGTTACAAACACACAGTGCAGTTGAAGCAGAGGAGTTTCTTACCACAATCATAAATTATCAGACCTGTATATCAGAAGGAACAGGAATGCACGCAGGCACCACATTATACACTGACTGACTCACTCGCTTCCATTGAAACTCAAGTGTCACTGTGGTGATTAGGACAAACAGACCTAGCAGTAGAGAGACCCTGCCCTGCCACTCCCTCAGCCCTTCCTATCTCCTGTCAGTAACAATCTCCAGCCTCTGCCTCACCCCGCTCTAATGACCGTGTGTGCCCCCCCTTGGGTGACATGTTGCACCGAGAGGGGAACAACACCTGCTTGGTTACTTTGAGAGGAGTGGGGTAGAGGTTGTACAATCTCAAACCACACATTTATGGCCATGTGTACCTTCATAAAACATGATGGATGAGAGTCAACTCACTCCTCTACTCAAACAACCACAGGTTCCACTACAATGACAACAAGCCACATACATACTCAATTGAATTAGAGCTTTAAAGGCGCAGTGTTGACCCATCAGCTTTATGAGTCAGAACACTGGCCTATTGAGTGGCACCAGATATGGATTACATGAGTCAGTAAACTTTGACGATACACCCTTTGGGCAAAGATACAAATATATGTGGCGTGGTTAAGTACAGGAGTCAGGCAACTCTCAACACAACATTGTAACTTGTACGGGACAAGACATCATATTAATGGAGGATTCGTTCATTTTCCAAAGCGCCTCTTGCTGCTTTAGCTTCTCTGAGAATGAATGAAGGACAGTATCTAACATATACACTGTATTTTAACAGTCAGACCGATGTTGCTTTTATGTGGCAGCAGGAGCACATTTTATTGTCCAGGGACATAAATCAGCTCTCTCCTGTGCAAACACAAATGGGAGTATGGTACAACAATGCAGCATGAAGCAGATTTCAGGTCAGCCCTTCAGGAGAAACAAGCAGCGTGAGGCAGCAAAGAGAGGACACAAAACAAGGGACAACATAAGACTAGGAAATCTGACACACACACACACACACACACACACACACACACACACGAAGGTGACAGAACTCACTTGCTGATCTTTACAGGACTGTATTCCTTTTTCTTCGACATCTTGGGAGACCGTTCAGGCCTGTTTCTGTAATCTGAGTCCAAGTGTGTTCCTTCCAACTCACTCTCTCCTCTTCCCTCTCACTCCTTCTTGTGTCTTGTGGCGTCTCCCCCCCACCACCACCCCAGTTAAGGAGCGTCCACCTGTCTCAGCTCCTCCCAGCCCAGCAGGTGTGTCGTCAGTAAAAGCAGCCGAGGAGCAGACCGGGCGGACCTGTTCCACGATCCTTCACAGCCCTCGCTCTGAGTTTAGATTCTAGGAGCTCAAATGTGTGGTTTTTTTTATTTGTAAAGGATGATCAGGAAACAGGAGATCCACCCTGAAAGAGCCTCATTATGCTCTTGAGTTTACTACACCAGTGGGGTTTTTTCTAACTCTACACACTCACACCTGCCTATAGAAATGATCTCTGAACCTGATACAGCTACAACTCTGTTATCAGCTCCATGTAACACACAAGACGTGGCAGTGCATTATAAAGCACTCAGTTTCCATATGTATGATAGTGGTGGAATGTAGCAGAGCAGCTGGATCATCAGGTTCATTTAGCCATGAACAGGGCTGCACCTAAGGATTATTATCGTTATCGATTAAGCATTTCAATCATTTTCTTGATTAACTGATTAATTGTTTGGTCTATAAAATATCCACGACCCAGAGCTATTAGTTAGAGAGTTAGTTCCTCTTTTTGTGGCATTAGTGAAAGCAGAGCATGGGCTGACTTTAGACCATGGCCATGAAAAGCCTGAATTATTTTAGACAATGTGGTGATCAGTAATGGTTTTTCAGTATAAAATACTGAACTGAATTTTATTAAGAAGTATGGTAATTTATTGATATTTCTTACTGAAATTAAGTATTTTGTTACCAGTGTAAATAAAAGATTAGAAGATAAAAAATCTAATTTAGATTTGTATGTATCTTATGTCGCTATTAACTACATACAGGAGTACAAAAACAAATAAATCTCTAACTTATTCTTATTAAGTGGGTTATGATCTGTACAGTATCAGAATAGTAAAGTACAGTAGCTGTTAGTCAGTGTTAGCCGTTATAACACTACAGGGTAAGGTTTAAATTGTCTTTGAGTATCAGTACCAAACCCTGATGTGTCTTCATTAATTGGCAGATTATTTAATTTACTACGCAACCTCAAGGATGGAACCCAGAGCATATTCATTTCCTAGAATCAGTTGTTATCACACACACACCCTGTAAAATTACCCCTGAAACAAATGAAGAGTCAAGGTCTAGTGTGAAAACTTCACCTGTTTCCAAAAAGAAAAGAAAAAAAAGCGTGATAACAAAGATGGTATGCAAAACTACAGTTCATGTACATTCAGCACAAAACACAAACACGCACTATGCTCACAATAAAATGGGTTGTTGGAGTTGGAGGAATCTCAAACAATGTCACTTTTTCACGCCCCAGCGGGAAGAACTCGGTTGAGCATGCTGCTCAGTTTCATGCTTGCAGTGGGTGTGTCTGACACACACCCTACTCCTCAGGACAACACCCACATACCTGTAGGGCCAGAGGGAAGGAACCCAGCTCACACAGACAGCAGTGAGTGACGGGACAAGAAAGTGGTGATGATTGAAAGGCGACACAGGGGTAGTCTCACAAGGCCTCAACCTTTGTCCCCAGCAGTACTTAAAGCAGCTATAATCAATATTTTTACAATAACAGCGTATCAGATGACAATGTGTGAAAAGGGTCTTCGAGGAGTGAGTTTCAGCTCAGTGTTTTATCTGTGTGGCCCACAGCTTTACTGTTTTGGTTCACTCTCACAGCTGGAGACACTCCAAGTGAATGATAATGTCACTCCATATGTGCAACTGGAAGTGTAAATCAGCAAATGTTTGCTAACATGTTTGCCATATTAACTTAAAAGGTGATTATACTTAAATGTTATCTTCAGTAACTGCAGCTTTAATATGTCAGCATCTATAGTTAGTAATTCATACTTAAAGCTGCAGTAGGTAACTTTTATTAAAAGAACTGTGACTTTAGCTGACAGTAGTACATGAGACAATTGCCATTAGATATTTGACAACCTATGAACTCAAGACTCAAGAGTCATCTATCTTTCTCTGCTCTGATTGGTTGTTTTGGTTCAGGCCTGGTGGGTTCTTGTAAATGCCATTAGGAGCACTAAGAGGAGATTTCTATTACAGATTATCTCTCTTGCATACGACTGTCAGGACAAAGCCACATGACCAAATGTTATATTTATGAAGGTTACCTATTGCAGCTTAAGGTAATGTAAAGCACATATTAAACCATTAATGGAGAGTACCTACAAATTAATATTTACAATATCACACAAAGTCCAGGCCAGCCCTCATGTGCTGATATGGTGTTGAGTAGTTGGACACAATAATGAACACAGGTGCAATGTAACGCAACATCCCTCACTAACTAACAAATCTAATCAAAATGACTACAGTTACTTCCGATACGCTATAAGCTCCACAGAGGTGGTATTCATCACAAGGTTTACATCATCTGGTGTTCGTGCTATTGGTTCCACCCCTGTACTTCACTCAAGGACAGCCCACCTGTTTAAACTCCACATTGTGCAATCTATCTGAGATAAGCACGGTTTGTCCACCTCAGACCAATTTTACAAACAGTAAGTCAGGATTAAACTGTGTCACGTCGGTTCCTGTGTTTCACAATGTTAAGTGTTTCCCCTGAAAACAGAAAAAGTTCATATGAGCCTAAATGGTTTTTTCTATGCTAATTGTGCTGTCAGCAGCAGGGTGTGGCTGTCACATATCACAATGAAAAATGCAACTCGTATGAGGAAGAATGCTCAACAGTGTTTACACAGTGAGCGTTCCACACATTCTTCCAGGCCGCGGGTCTGTAAATATGTAGAGAACTAATTTAAATCAGCCATGCCCACAGCACTCCTGTTCTCCAAGAACTCTAATCTATACAGCGCTGACCTGTGACCAGGTTTCAGTGTTTGATACGGTTGGTTGAGGTAGAACAACAGTACAACTGGGACACATGTAGGCCCTCTTCAAGACCCCCCTCCCACCTTCTTCTGGTTCCTACAGTGTGATGTTTGAATGATGTATGTGCAGTTTGTTTTCACATTAATCTGCTGAAAGTGGAAAGTTTCTCTGTGCTCACTGAAAATCTGATTTAAATCTGATTTCTACCAGCAGGATTTCTGACATCATAAATCATTTGGAAGTCAGTCCTGGTCAAGTATGTAATTTTTTCAAGTGTGATACACTGAGAATGGACTTTACAGTGAAGAAGGTAGAATGTAGTTGATATATTTTGATTTTGATGTGGATTCAATTGTGTTTTTTGCAAGAAAAAAAGCCACATTATTGTTCAAAGCAGACTATTTGTATATGTCTTACTACATGTCCGGAGGGGATCTTTAAGCGTCTATAGCGACTTACATACATGATTACCATAGGCCTAGGGGTCCAAAGGGCAAGGGGGCTCAAATCAGAACTTCTTTTGCAATATTTTAAAGCAGAATATCTCTTTGAGAATATAACCTGTATCACTAGTTTCTTTATAAAGCCTTTTATATTGTTGTGTTTAGTGTCACATAGTTTGTACTCAACCCTCCAAAGCGGGTTGCAAGATAATTAACCATAGGGGTGAAAAGAAATTTGTGCCAGAGTGAGGGAAAACCTGCAAAATGTCACCAATAAGGTTCTGTCAGTTATGTCTGCTCACAGGGGCCCCTTGTCTCAACCTATCCATGCTCAGCAATATAGTTCTACAGTATAGTTAAGGTTGGACCATGAGTGCAGATGTCCTCTGAGATAGAAAACCCTCTGCTCTACCAACAGGGGGAGACTGCTCCCTTCCAACTCACCTAGACTGTCAGCTGTGCACTGAGCTTTAGGGAGCTAGAATGGCTCATTAAAAGATCATTAGTGTTGCCACCCTCAGAAATCTTTAGCAGCATGCAATAAGCACGAGACTGACAGGGAAAACAAGTTACCACTCCTTTTCCACTGCTGGGACAAAAGGCAGGAAGACTGTATGAGGAAGGAAGTGACATTTGTGTCCACAGACTTCTACTTCTGCTACAAAGGTTTTGGCAACTTGATTTCAGTAGTGCAATATGATGCACTATAAAACATCAAGTGATATATGCTGGTTCAAGAAGTTGCTTTACTTAAGACTACACATGATGACTGAACTGGTATATTTGTGACACCTGCTGGACATTGAAAGTATTACAGTGTTAAAATATTTTCCTGAAAAGATTTCATAACAGTAACTTCCACAAACACCAAGTATTTTTTGAGTTTTATTTGAAAGATCATGCAGTGCACTTCCAAGGTAGGAGCTTCTCACTTTCAATGATACACATGAAAAACCAATACATTTGTAATTACCTAGTACAAAACATAACTAAACATTACTTAGGAATGTAACAAATTAAATAGTAAGGGGAAAAATGTGCGCAACACCACTATTGCTGCACTGCAGATCTTAAAAGGCTTGATAGAGGTTGAAGTTGTTTGTAACCCTGTCGTGTAAATACAAAAATTCTGTGTCGAACTTAAAACAAGACAAAAAGCAATAAATTACTTCTTTCAAGTATATGTTGTGTTTACTGAGAGAACTGTGGAGGCATGGGGTAGGGCACCAGTGGTGGGGGGTGCTGCTGCGGAGCCTGTGCCTGGGGGAAGGGGAATGGGGGATGAGATGCGCCAGTCTGTGCGCCACCCTTAGCGGGAGCAAACTGAGGGGCCGGGAAGTTGTTCTGGCCTCCAAAGGCGCCTGTTTGGTTGTTAAAGTTGGACTGTCCATTACCATTGTAGCTGCCTCCACTGAAGCCATTGCTGGTGCCGTTACTGCCCCCATAGCCTCCATTCTGTGAATTTGCACCAAAGGTTTTATTTGGTCCGTTGTCAAACCCCCTACCATTATCCCTGTCCCTAAAACTGCCAAAATCACGCCTTCCGGAGGAATACCTATCCCGGCGGTCATCTCTATAATCACCACCTCTGCCTCCCCTTGAACGACCTGGGAAAAAAGGAAAAAAAATTAAGAAGAGAGGCATTTGGCTATAGTCATGTTTAAATAAACAAAGAGCCAAAAGCTGGTTTGAGGTACCAATACGTAA